CCTCAACCAGGTGGATTGACAGGGTGACTGCTGCAATGGGCTCTATTGTGTTAGAAAGTGTGAAGATGGCACAATTTCTTTTGTTCATAGGGTCATGTCCTTGAAGGGGCAGCACCTAAAAACAATTACATTATTTCACATACAATCACTGTTGTTCATATGGTTGTTGTGAGTCTTGACCACACCTAACTACTACAACAACAACGTCCCACCAGAGCTCCCTAAGAGATAAGTAGCTACATAACAGTTAGAGTTTCCTCTTTGATTTTCTTATCTAGTTATCAACTTTGGCCTCTCTCCACTGTTCTGAGTTATTTCTTAAAAAACAAAAACAAACCCTAAAGCCTTTGTGGTGCTGGAGAAGAGTGTGGAATATACCATGGACTGCTAGGAGAACAAACAGGTTTGTCCTGGAGAGGGTGAAGCCAGAATGCTCCTTGGAGTCAAGGATTCTGGAGCTTCATCTGACATACTTTGGGCATGTTACAAGGAGGGTCTGGTCCTTGGAGAGGGACATCATGTTTGGGAGAGTGGAGGGGGTGCAGGAGAGGAAGACCATCGAAGAGATGGATCGATTCTGTGACTGGGGTGGTGGGAATGAGTGTGTCAGAGATGGTGATGTTGGCACAGGATAGAGCAGGTTTTAGGGCTCTTGTACATAGGGTCGCTATGAGTTGCAGGCAATTTGACGGCATATAACAACAACAACAACAACAAAGCCTTTTGCAGTTCAACCCACATATGAACATCTTATGCATGTGAATGCCTAGATGCATAATATAATTATGTCCTTTCAATAGCTATTGCAGCAATTTTGGTATGAAAACGTTTGTGTTTGGCCTAGGATTTGTCAGCAAGAGGAAAGAAAAAAAGTGAATATAAATGACATTTCAAAGCAGAAATGCCTGCTCAAAGGTGAGGAAGAAAAGGAAGAAAAAAAAATTAAAAAAAAAAATTAATAGAGAAGTTAGAGGAGGGGAATAGAAAAAGAATGGCAAGAGGCCCTTACACAAAAAGAAATTTTAAAAAACTAAAAACAAAACAAAGGAGACAGGCTGTGGTGCATGGTCACCTGGTGAATACAGAGCTCTGATCTTGTAGGTAAAAGTGCTACAGAATACTTGTGGTGACTAAACTGGGAAACTAAAGCTAGAATCATTGTAGCTAAGTATCTATTTAACAAAAACCCATCCCATTGCCATTAAGTTGGAACTGACTCTTTGGGTTTCACAGGCCGTAAATTGCAGGGCTTTTATATTTCTCCCTCACAGCAAGGAATGGACTTGAACCTTCAGAAAGGTGTTACCTTTGGCTTACTAGCAGCCACTTTAAGAAAACCTTATAAAAATTAATAAAATAAAAAAGAAAACCTTAAGAAAGACTTAAAAATATCAATTCACTGTCGGCATCAAAAGAAGATGGAAGAAATACACGGAATCACTATACCAAAAAGAATTGATTGACCCTGAACCATTTCAAAAAATAGTCTATGCAAAACTGAAAGTGACCCACATTTATTCCCATTAAAAAAAAGTGTTTCTTTCAATAGAGTGGAAATTATCAAATAAATCATTAGTATCACACACAAGTCAAATCTTGCCAAAGAGAAAAAAAAAATGGGTGGAATAAGATATCAACAGGGAACTTTCAGAAATTTAAGCTGGAACAGAAATCCCAGTGTGTGGATCCAGGGATATCATTGCTGCTGTCAGATATAGACAGGTGTTATCACAAGAAAACGACAGAAAAATATTTGCTTGTGTTTTATTGTCTATACAAAGGTCTTTGACTATGTGAATCATCACAAATTATTGCAAACCTTAAGAAGAATGGAAATTCCAGAACATTTAAACTTTTCTTAGATAAAAAAGCAGTTGTCTGAGCAGAAGAGTGGGACATTGCACAGCTTAAAATCAGTAAAGGCATGCATCAGAGTTTTATCCTTTCTACATATATATTCAATCTCTACGCCAGGCATTCGAGAAGTTGAAGAAAATTGTGGCAGCAGGATTGGAGGAAGACTCATCAACAACTGCATTATGCAAATGATATAACCTTTGTTGCAGAAAGTGAGAAAAACTTGAATTGCTAGCTGCAGAAGATCATAGATGACAGCCTCCAATGTGGATTACATCTCTACATCATGGGAACAAAAATCCTCACCACTGCACCAACAGACAACATGATGATAAATGGAGAAGAAAAAAAATTTAAGCTGTCATTGATTTCGTTTTACTTAGATTTACAATCAACTCCCTGGTAGCACCAGTCAAGAAATCAAAACACGTGTTGTACCGGGAAATCTGTTGCCAAGGGCCTCTCCAGTGCGAAGGGCAATTTTAAAGACTAAGATGCGCCTGGTACAAGCTATGGCCTGTTAAATTGCTTTCCATGCATCTGAAAAATTGCATAATGAATAAGAAAAGGTCAAAGAAGAATTGATGTCTTAAAATTATAGTGATGGCGAAAAGTACCTAATGAATGTTCCAGGAACTGCCGAAAGAACGAACAGATTTGTCTCAGAAGAAGCACAAGCAGAGTGCTCCTTTGAGGGAAGGGTGGTAAAACTTCATCTCACATACTTTGAGCATGTTAACAGTTCCATTCCTTGGAAAAAGGCATCATGCTGGGAAAGGTGGAAGGCTAGAGAAAGAGAAAAAAACTCTCAACAAGAGGAGCTGGTGCAATGACTATACCAATAAGGGAGACGAAAATGATGGCGCAGGGTAGGGCAAGATTGCTCCTAGGGTCACTTTGAATCTCAGTTCATTCGATGCACAAACAACAAATTGCACAGGAGGAGACTGCCCACTGCTCCCTTGTGGGTTGGCAGCACGTTAGGATATCAGAGCTCCCTTAAGTAGGATTGCCGTTGTTAGGTGCTGTCGAGTCGACTGTGATTTAGAAAAGATTTAGTTTCTGCAAAAGGTCAAAACTGATGGAAAGAACTAGCAGTATAACTGTCAGGTGCTGGCCGGCAAGTGGTCCAAGTTTCAGGCTGTCATCTGTTACTGTCATTATCTACCAGCCAATAGCGACCGACCGATGAAGTTCGCGGCTCCCTATTGGAGGAGCAGAAGGGCGGAGCTTTCTGCAGGCTGCGGGCTGACGGCTGGGTTGTAGCGCGGACGTCAACGTGTCCGCCCTTGAAACCCGCGCTGCGCGGTCGGCGACCATGGCGGCGGTGGCTGCCCTTCTGCGCGGCGGTGCCCGCGCGCATGGCCCGCTGCTCCGGAGGCTGATGCAGGTGAGCAGGCGCGGGCCTCGCGCGGGGCTGTTCCCCGGGGCTGCCCTCGCTCTGAGGTTCCTGCGGTCGGTACCGGGGCGCGGTGTGCGCCTGCCGTCTAGGCCCGCGAACGGCCTGGATAAGCCCAGAACGCGCAGGCAGTGGGCACATACTTGCTCATTTGCCGAACTCCTTTTCCACCCCATGGTCTCCGCTGTCGCCCTGCTAATTTTTGCTGGTCCGTAAACACATTTTGGCAGCCAGCCATATATGTGCACTCTTGATTGAAGGCAGGTGAAATGGTTACCGAATTTTCTTTAAAATGTTTTCGTGATTGTACCATTTTACAACTCCACCAGCAAAGTTTACGAGTGCCTATCTCACCACATCCTTTCCAACATTTATTACTTGTTGTCTTGTTAAACTTTGCCACTGTTACTAGAGCGAGATAATATCTCATTGTGGTTTTTGATTTGTATCTCTTATTGCCAGTGATTTGTAGCATTTCTTCCTGTGTGTGTTTGCCATTCTAATATTTTCCTCTGTGAAAATTCTTTCCCTGTTTTATGCCCATATCATCAGTCTTTTTCTTGTGCAGGCCCAGGAGCTATAAACTTTCGTTATGAGACTCTTGTCTGAGATGGTATTACCAAATGTTTGTTTCCAGTTGGTAGGTTCACTTTTCACCCTGTTGGAAAAAGTTTTTGATGCTCACAGGGATTTAATCTTTAAAAGGTCTCGTTCATCAATTTTATCCTCTTCAGATTGTGCGTTTCTGGCTGTATTTGGCAGTCTCTTTATACCGTAGACTAGGCAGTCTAAGCTTGATCCCTAGTTTGCCTCTTATGAACTTTATGGTTTTGTGCTTTACTCCCATGTATCTGATCTACTTTGAGTTGATTTTTGTGTATGGGGTGAGATGTGGATCCTGTTTCAGCTTTCTGCAGGTCGAAGTCCAGTTTTGCCAGCACGCTTCCTCAAAGAGCTGAGCATAGAAATTCTGTATGACCCAGCTATTCCACTGCTTAGAATATACTGAGAAAATGAGAACTGAGGCACAGAGACATGTACACCAGTGTTCATAGCCACATTATTCACAATCGCAAGAACATGGAAACATCCCAGATATCCAGCCACAAACGAATGGACTGAAAAATGGTATATTCATACAATGGAATACAACACAGCATACAGGAGAAATGATTTTGTAAATTATAACCAAACTTGGGATGGGGTGGAATGGAGAACGTTATGCTGAGTGAACTAACTCAGTCCCACAGGACAAATATATAAAACCATGATTGTAGAATGAGGGAGGGGAAGGGGAGGAGCAGAAAGACCAGGATGGGGTGAGGGGAGAATTAATAATGGAGTTGTACAATTTGATGGTTTAGGGGTGAGGGAAATTGGAAGAATCTGGTTTGAAAAACAGTATATTCTAATTTTGTAAATAAACTAGTATAAATTAATAAATAGAGGAATTAATAAAAACAAGTATAAATTAGGGAGCTCTGGTGGCCTAGTGGCAAGAAGCTGCACTGCAATCCCAGAGGAACACGGTTCAAATCCACCAGATGCTCTGCCAGAGAAGGAGGTGCAATATCCTCCTGTAGCAGTCAGATCTTATTTGACGGTACATGCACACAAAGTAATAAAAAATAAAAAAAAAATTTAAAAAAAAACCCAAGTATAAATTAAACAATATAGGAAATAAAAAATGTATTTGTGAGCATTATTTGCAAGAAAGACTTTTTTTCAAAAAACTGCTTTCGCCATGCACACAGGTAATCATTGCCCTTAACACAGCGTGCGAGGCACTACGTGTTAAGACATTCCTGCACTGGAGCATCTTCAAACTTACCAAGGGAAAGAAATGGCTTCTCAAATGATACACAAAATAAATGGAATTTGTGGTGTCAGCTCCAGTGCTGTGTTAGGTGACCAAATCTTGAAGAAAGCTTATTTTTCAAAGGTGCAGCAAGGGAGTTTATACTTCGCCTGCATTTAAGATCTGACAAAACTTAGAGACTAGAGATTGTTGGTGAAACTTGATTTTCCACTGGGATAAACTGCAGTGCCATGTTGGAGAGTTTGGGTTTGACCCCCAGTCAGTGGAAGTAGTTGACTGATTTTTTTTACATCAAAAGAGATCAAGGAATATTAAGGTTGGCAGAAAAACGAATAGCCAGCCGTCTATTAACAGAACTTGACAGGGATGGCAACAGGGACTGACAAGGTGTATGTGGGGAATCGTGTAAGGTTAAGCTAGGAATTTGGGGTGATGGTTGGGGGGACAAAGCATTAGGAAGGGTAGTATTAATCTGGGGTGACTGGGATAATAAAAAAAAATAAAGAACAACTCAGTTTAGAGGAAAGGCTAATTCTTAGTGTGCTAGTTTGGGGGAATGGCTTGTAAAATGACACAAATTTAGTTAGGTAACTTGATTTTTCAATAAAAGTTGGTTAGGTCATTTGAGAGGACTGGGCAGTTTGTCTTTTGTGGTATATGGGGTCACTACTGACTTGCAGGGGAGCTCTGTTGGCCTAGTGGCAAGAAGTTGCACTACAATTGCAAAGACATGCAGTTTGAGGCCACCAGTTGCTTCATGAGAGGACAGGCAATCTCCCTTGTGATTAATTGCCTCTGAACACCTGCTGGAGGGTCAGCTATGGGTCGGTTCTGACTCGATGGTACACGACACACAACGCACTGACTTGCAGGCAACAAACAACATTAAGTTGTATAAAAAGCACATGCAGAGAGACCTTTCATTTGTTATTTCAGTAAGAGCTTACACATATACCCAACTTGGGAAGCTCGTTTGACTGGACTCCCTCGCCTAGAGGTAAAGAATTGTGCTGCCAAGTCAAAGGCACTGGGTTTGAGTCCAACATCTGCTCCATGGGAGACAGATGGTCAGTCTCCTTCTGTGTAATTACAGCCTCTGGAGGGTCACGGGTGAGTTGGTTCTGGCAAATAATAGCCAGTGCTGTGAACTGGATGATTGTATTGAATGATACTTGAATTAAATGTTTATTTACTGAACAATGGACATCTGTGTGTTTTAACAAGAGCACCTGGGGGTGGAAATATGCATGCTTAGCAAGAAGTTGAACTGGAATTTCAATTTTCTATTTGACCTCTCACCTATTAATTACGTTGTTTGTATCTTCAAATATATACACACCTACTTTGTTAGGAACAAACCTTTCTGGACTTTCTTGGAGCTTGTTTCCCTTGTAGCCTTAATCTCTTGTGTGGAGTAAAACACTTTTATCATTCTTAACGTTTGTGGATCCCTTTCTCTTTTCTCTGCATTGAGCATTTTTGTGCAGCTCAGCTGAAGAAAACTGGCGATACTCTTTTTTTCTTGGTCTTTATATTGAATTTGATGTCGCTGACCAGTCCTTCTTTGAAACGCTGTCCTGCTGCTACAGTCCAGTGGTATTCTGCTTTTAATACTCTGAGTATGAAACAGTTCCCACATTGCTCTGCTTGCTCTCAGATTCATTTCTCTCCCTCCTTCCGTCTCTGTGGGGACTGACTTTTCCTGGCTCTTTTTCAGACTTGCTCGTCAGCTGACTTCTGACAGAATTCACTCGCTGGAGGCACTGGTAGAGAATGGAAAATAGAATCGAGAAGCCAGGATCTTTATCTCTTTCTTGCTGCCTGCCTGAGGTGGTGTTTCAGGCAGGCCTTTTTTTCCCTTTGTGGACCTATTTCTGTCAGTTGACCTTGACTCTGGCTTTGACAGACTTCCCCTTTGCCCCACTAGTTTAAACTTACCAGTGCCTTCCTGCTTTTTATCTCTGTACTGCCTACCTTTCCCTGTTCTCAGATCTTCTGTAACCTATGACTTTATTTCCTTGTATTCAATTTTGTTTTAAATAAAGGAGTTCCTCAATGGGCAAATGGATAAGTGCTCAACTACTAACTAAAAGGTTGGTGGTTCAACTCCACCTGCAGGGCACCTTAAAAGAAAAGTCCAGCAATCGACCTTTGAAAAATCAGCCATCGAAAATCCTGCGGAGAATCACATGAACTTCAACCTCCACAACCCTGGGGCCAGAAGAACTGGACAGTACCCAGCTGCCAGTGCTGACCAATCTAAAAGGGTGGAAGAAAACTGTTGAACAAAATTGTTGTTGTTGTTGTTATTATGTGCCATTGAGTTGCTTGTGACTCATAATGACTCTATGTACAAGATCTCTAAATGCTGTTCTATCCTGTGCCAACCTAGCCATCTCAAACGCACTTATTCCCACTGCTCCAGTCACAGAATCGATCCATCTCATCAAAGGTCTTCCTCTCCTGCGCCGTCCCTCCACTCTCCCAAACATGATGTCCCTCTCCAAGGACCAGTCCCTCCTTGCAACATGCCCAATATATGTCAGACAAAGCTTCAGAATCCTTGACTCCAGGGAACACTCTGGCTTCACCCTCTCCAGGACAAACCTGTTTGTTCTCCTAGCAGTCCATGGTATATTCAACACTCGTCTCCAGCACCACAGCTCAAAGGCGACAGGCTTGTTTCTCTAGTAAAGACTGATGGCCCAGAGACTATGGCCCCTCGTCACACTTTAAGTCTAGAATGAAATTAATCCCTATACTTTAACCTTCAGCCAAGAAGTAGACAGTGACAGGGAGGCAGTCATTCCTTAGAACGGTCAGCCACACACGATAGGGTGAGGAGTGTTTGCCCAGGGATAGAGCTCAGAAGGCCGAAGGTTAGGATGAATGGCTGTGAGCGTCACAGGAATGGCAAGAGTGCTGTTCCCACGCAGGTCTGTAATCCATGCTGTAAAATACAGAAAGTGTAAAGGGTTGAGTAGAAAACCTGTTCGCTCTGTCAATTTTCAAAGCATGAGGAATAGTTTACAAAAAAAAAAAAAAAATGAAGAAAGCAAGTCCTTGGATCCTAGTTCCATTCTGATCGGGTGCTCCCGGAGTGTGGGAGCTGAGGGCGCAGTATCTGCTTTCTGTCTGTTTGTAATTGGAAGGATTGGATACCCTGCCTCAGTCCTCTCTTTTTAGAGGGGCTTGTAGGACAGTCAGTCAGGAGGTCCAGCAAGGCCTGAAAGAAAGAATCAAGACATTAGAGGAATACATTCAGTTGTACTTAGTGATAGAGATTGAGGCTGAGAGGCAGCGTTTGTATGATGGTTTTGGTTCCAGCCTATCCATATAGGAAGATGTTTTGCGCTGTCAAGTCATAACTGATGAATAGCTGACTCTCCGGTGGCTTTTCAGAAGCAGTAAATTACACAGGGGGAGACTGCCTGTCTTTCTCCTATAGACCCACTGGTGGATTTGAACTGCATGCCTTTGGGTTTGCAGCTCAGCTCTTTACTACTAGGCCAATAGCGCTTCCTAAAGGTAGATAGTGGAGGTTTCTACTGAGGAGAGGATGTAGGAGGAGGGACAGATTTGAGGGTAAATAAAAAGTGGTAGGTTGAATTTTACACGTAGGTCTGGAGAAAAATAGCTAATGTAGCAGGGGGAAAATCACGTTATTGTGTCATGATGGAAGCCCAGTAAAGAATTCCACAGTGCCCCTAGTGTGGAGGGCGGTGTGCTTCTAACCCAGAGGCGGGGTTTCCATGGGTGTTTGAATCCACTCGCAACTCCAAGGGAGAACGAAGGGCAGTCCCCCTTCCTCCAGCGGTTCGCAGCCTCAGAAATCTTCCCATAAGTCAGGTCCAACGCCATGGTAGTGAGTTTGAGGTTTTTGTTGCACCTTCTGCCTCCTCATTTCATCTCTGCAAGACTTAGCAACTAAGCCCAGACTCTTAACCAGTAACATATTTTCCAAAAACTAAAATGAAGTTCAGTGCTAATGACAGGTTATATGAGCTAGCTGTAATGATTTCTTTATTGGTTTGGCCATGTAGAAATTGGTGACTTTGCTCAGAGCCAACAATGGTAGTATTAATCATCACTGTAGTGTTGGCACTGACTCATAGCTGATCCTCCAGTGGGTTTTTAGAGGCTGTGACTCGCACGGGAGGAGACTGCCCATCTCTCCTGCAGAGCACTGGTGGATTTGAATCATGTGCCTCAGGATTGGCAGTGCAACTTCCTACCACTGGGCCACTGACATCTTTTTTTAGCGCTTCAAAGTTAGATTTGTTCTTTCCTAGGGTTGCTGTTGAAAAGGTTGTTTTGTGGCATCAGGATTGGTGGAAGATCTATTAACAGTCTGCATTATACAGATGACACAACCCTGCTTGCTGAAAATGAAGATGACCTCATGCACTTGCTGCAGAGGGTCAAGAACTGCAGCCTTCAGTATGGACTGAGGCTCAATGTCAAGAAGACAAAGATTCTCACCACTGGACCAATTGGCAGCATCAGGATGGATGGCGAAGAGATTGAGATTGTTCACAGCTTCAGTTTGCTTGGCTCCACAGTCAACACTCTTGGAACCAGCAGCCAGGAAATAAAAAAACATTGCAATGGGAAAGTCTGCTGTTAGGGACCTCTCTAAAGTACTCAAGAGTAACGGTGTCTCTCTGGAGACTAAGATGTTCCTGATACAGGCCATGGTCTTTGCAATTACTTGTTATGCATCAGAGAGTTGGACAATGACTAGGGAGGACAGAAGGAGAATTGATGCCTTTGAGCTGTGGTGCTGGAGAAGAGTACTGAATGTGCCATGGACTGCCAAGAAAACAAACAGATTCATCCTGGAGAGGGTTAAACCAAGCAACTCCTTGGAGGCAAGGACTCTGGGGCTTCGTCTGACATACTTTGGCTATGTTGCAAGGAGGGACAGGTTCTTGGAGAGAGACATCATGCTTGGGAGGGTGGAGGGACGGTGCAAGAGGGGAAAAACCCTCTATGAGATGGATTGATTCAGTGACTGGGGTAATCGGAATGGGTGTGTCAGAGGCAGTGCGATTGGCAGAAGATAGAGCAGGGTTTAGGGCTGTTGTACATAGGGTCGCTATGAGTCGCAAACGACTCGACGGCACATAACAACAACAACAGGGTTGCTGTTAGTGGTAGTTGACTTGCTGGCCCCTTCAGGCAACGGGGGGCTGGGTGGGGAGCTCTGGGAATTGTGCTGCTAACCTAAGGTTGAGACTTCTCCACTGGTTCAAATCCACCAGCAGCCCTGTGGGAGAAACCTAGGCAGTCTCTCCTCACTTGCAGTTTACACCCTCAGAAAACTCAGTGAAAGGTCAGATGCCAATGACTTAGAAAATTAAATAGGTCTCTGGCAACAGATTTGCTCAGTGCAGTACATCTTTTTTATTTTATGATGTTGATTGTGGATCCATTAAAATGAAATTGATGTCAGTTTTTTCTCCATTTATCATGACATTGCTTGTTGATCCAGTTGTGAGGATTTCTGGATTTTTAAGTTGGGTGTAAACCACTCTGGAGACTGTAATCTCAGGTCTTTTCTCTAAGTACTTCAAGTTCTCCTCACTTTCAACAAGCAAATTTGTGCTCTCTGCACAATGATTAGGCTTCCTCCAATCCTGATGACTCTTTTGCTCAGCATTTACAGCATATTAGTATTTACAACACATATGATAATTACATCAGATTTAAATAGGAGATAATAAATTCTGAGAATCATTATTTAGCCATGTTGACTCATTTTGTGAGGAGACACAGTTCAGTCCCTAATAATACATCAAAGGAAACTTGACTTGCATTTTCTTTTCTGAGAGGAACCAGAGCCTGTGTGTGTATGAGGAGAGGAGATAAAATAGACCATCTCTTGGACATCCAAGGATAGAAAAAAAGCAGTAGACCCTGTTAGAGTCTTCACTGGAAAATCATGACCCTAGGGGTCTTCTTTTGGAGCACTGTGATCTTTTTCTCTGAGAATATCTATTCCTTTCCTTTGCTTCTCTGGTTTCCTTATTGTCCTAACTTCTTTTTATCCATTAGGTCCTTTTAGTTCGAGCACCTATTGTCATCCAGGTGGCTCAGTCTATGTACAGTTTAGGCAAATCAGTTTCGTCTTTGGTCTTAACCAGCTCTGGTCAGGAGGCATTGCATTGTGGCTACTTGGAGTTGCCCTTTCCAGGCTTTCTGAGGAGGGGAAGGGATTGGAGAGGTGGTCACTGGCATGTTAACTGTGAGCAAGAACTTTTCACTGAAAATGGAATCACAGACAAGTATAGAAGCAGCAGCTCAGACGATGTGACATGTTAAGAGCACCTGTTTTTCTCCCCCCCCCCGGCTGATGATGAGGAACGCGTCTCTTGAACACATGCACTCGAACTTTGTCTGCCTGAGCATGACACGTGCGCTGGCCTGGGCACAATCACTGAAGGTGACACGAAGGGGCAAGTCAGGTCTAAACTACACAGATTTTCCTAAGCCACTTGCACAGCTGTAAGAGTACAAATACAAACTGAGATGGCAAATAAGTTTTTCTTCCAGATCTGCACAAACACAGATAATATCAAGTCATATGTTTGTGCTCTCTGGTGTAGCATTTTATGTATTTAAAACATGAAATGCAAATAAAATGCTTGTGCTAGTCCCCCGTGAATTCCAGAGACAGTGTACTTAGAGCTTGTTAAACACTTTTAATCTCATTTTAGGAATAGCCACAGGTCCATTTCTCCTCTGTCTGATTATGGTACTTGAGCGAGTTGTTAGGTGCTGTCGAGTCTCCCACAGCTCACAGTGGCCCTAGGAACCTGGTCCTCTCCTGCACCTTACTCGTGTGTCATTGTGCTACAGCTCACAGTGACCCAGTGGACGACGGATCTGAACCTCGTCCTAGCCTGCTCCTTCCTCCTGGTCTCTGTCATGGTGCTAGCCTGTTTTGTTGAGTCTTCCTCCCTTTTGCTGACCCTCTGCCTTTCCCAGCGTGATGTCTCCAGGGATTCGTTCCTCATGAAAATATGCCCATGGTAAGAGAGGCCACGTTTCACCATTCCAGCCTCCAAGGAGCTCTTCCTTCCAGACAGATGTACTTGTTCATTCTTTTGGCAGTATTGAATCTACCCCAGGGACTGCCAAAAGAACAAGCAAGTCTGTCTTGAATGAAGTACAAGCAAGAATACTCTTCGCCAGCACCACAGTTCAAAGGCTTTGATTCGTCTTTGGTCTTCTTTATTCAGTGTCCAGTTTTCAGATGGATAAGCAGCAAGTGAAACGGCCATGCTTGGCTTAGGCAAGCATGACATCTTTGCTCTTTAGCGCTTGGGAGAGGGCCTTGACAACAGACTTTCCCAATGAAACAGGTCTTTTCTTCACTTCTGCTACCATGGGTGTTGATTGTGGATCCCACTGTAATGAAATTGGTGAAAACTTCAGTCTTTGAGCATAAGGACTGTGTTTTTAAGGTCTCAAATTCATCTCGTTTTCTGTAAGCATTTTCAATAGACTTCTCAAGCAAAGGAAAGATCAATAATGGTATGGGCTAGTCACTTTTACCTCAAAAACAGTGTAAAATATCTTTGGGACTTGACCAAATATTTCTGATGAGGGTTTTTTTTTTTTTGAGTAATAGTTTCAACATAAAAATTACACAATAACACAGAATGATCCAAATTCCATTTATTTAATTCATGCTTTGGTTTGTAAACTAATTATAGTAATTTCTTGCACATGTTTTGAAAGTTAATTGTATAAGAATTTGTGTATCTGCTTCTAGATACAGTGTAAATGAAAGTTTTGTTCACAAAAAAAAAAGACAAAAAAAGATCACTGTAGAGTTAAATCCTTTCTTCCACTGTCTTGAAATGTATGCTGTCATAAACTTCCATTTACATGTGTTTTCATCCAAACAGATTTTGGGATCATGGATGTCTCTGCTTCCATCTACTTCGCGCATACCTGCCTCTGTTTCTGTGCTGTATTATAAATTGGAGGCTTAATTGGTTAATTGCATTGAGTCAGGATAAAACATGTTTAGTGTAGAAAGCGAATAAGTTTTTAAATACATTTAAAATGTTGAAATGTTTGTAGACTGCCAAGTGTTTTTAAAAATAAGCTATTAAGATTAGGGTCTAATAAACTATGTTCTGAAAACTTTCCACTCAAATTCCTCTTAAAAAAGTAAGACCTTAAATATAAGCTTCCATTATTCTTTTTTATGGCTTAGGACTTTAGAAGTTAAATATTTTACTCTTTATTTGTTCTGTAAATAACTGAATTTCAGATGAATGATGTCTCTGAACTGTGACCTATATCTCTGATTTGATTTTTGTTGGCATTGCAAAGAGCGACGTGGAAAAAAGTGAGCAGTAGGGGAAAGGTTGTGTCTTGACTTTCTTAGAAAACTAATATTAATGTAGATCCTGCATAAACTAGCAGTTTGCTTCAGATAAGCCAGAGACCTCATTGGAAGTGGAGGAGCAGCAGCAAATTTTACTTAAATTATGTATCTACATACATTTTTAAACAATGAAAAAATTTTTGGTGGCAATTTAGCATTACTTAATTTTTAATTTGGTCTCAATTTGGAATTAGATTTTCTAAAATTTCCACTTTAAAAAGGCTTTAGAAATTTTAAGATAATGAACTCTTCTGAATTTAATGTATTCCTGATATAATCAGAATAATCAGAAGAGTATAGTATTTAGTTATGAATATTTTTAGGGTTTTTTTAGATTTTAAAAGTGATAGTCTCTTTCTGGAAAATCTAGAAATAAAAGCAAAACAACAAAAGTATTAACCAGGGGAAAAAGATAACTTTATCAGAGTATAACGTGATGTAGGTTATTATCTTCTATATTATAACATTGTGTTTCTCTTGCAGGAAATAACATATACAAAGCGAAGTTACGTAGTAAAACCCACATTGAATGTAAGTGTGGACTTAAATTGTGTTCTACATTCTAATAAAGAAAATGCAGGGTTATAGAATGGTTGGTCATAGTTAATTATTGAAATATTACATTTTCAGATTAACATGAGTTTCAGCCCTTTCTCCCTGCATAATTCCTGATACTTGCCATCGTCTGAGTGTAGGCGTTCTCCCTCCTCTGTCACAGTCACTCTCACACTGTGTATAGCCCTGTGCACGGGCTGGTGGATGGCCTCGGAGGAGGCACTAAATTTGGGCTGAGAATTAGATCTGGCCACCTGGTGATCTTTGGTGTGTGTGTTTTTTAATTCCTTTTTTTTATTATTATTATCTTGTGTGTGTACCATCAAATCGGATCTGACTGGTACAGGAGGAGATTGTCCCTCCTTCTCTAGCAGAGCCTCTGGTGGATTCGAACCATGTTCCTCTGGGATTGCAGTGCAGCTTCTTGCCACTAGGCCACCAGAACTTCCTGTGATCTTTGTTTTGTAAGACTTTCTGAAGTGACTGTATTCATCTTTAGCCAAGATCTGGGGTCCCTGTGTTATCTGGGGTTGTTTATGAGAGCAGTTGCCAAGCTCCTTGTTGTTATGTGCCCTCAAATCAGAACTGACTCATAGCTGACCCTCCCATCTTCCTCCTGCGAGCTAAGTTAGAACAAGTATTTCCTAACTTTTGAAAATGTTCTTTGCTGTCTTGAATGATAAATCCCTGGCTTTTAACTAAGGAGCTCTGGCGGATCTCAGGGAGCTGAGTGTTGGCCCACGAGCGGCACCTCTCTGCAGTTCAAATCCACCAGATCCCTGCGGAAAAAAGGTTGACAGTGTCCTTCCATGTAATTTACAGCCTCTGAAGACTCTCTAGAGGGTTGAAGCTAAAGAGAGAGAGTGAGCGACAGAGAGCAGGCTTTGAACTGATCTGGTGTCCGGCGGTTTGGGTAATTGCCTGTCTTTCTTAGGGATTTAACAGCATATGTGTGTGTAAGCAGCACAGCTCGTTCGTTGCCTCTAAGCCAGCAGCGCTCCTCTGTTGTGATGTTGTTGTTGTTGTTGTTATGTACCATCGAGCTGGAATCAACTCATGGCTGACCCTCTGGAAGGTTCTCAGAGGCCGTGAATTACATGGGAGGAGATAGTGCATCCTTCTGTGGAGCAGCTGGTGGATTCAACTGCGTGCCTTTACATTGGCAGTGCTACTCCTAACCTCTAAGACATGAGAGCGCCCTCTTTTGTGACTAGTCATTCATTTAAAAAGTTTCTTACCAAGAAGCTGCACTGCACTCCCAGATGTGCCTGGTTCGAATCCATCAGATGCTCTGCTGGAGAAGGAGGGACAATCTCCTCCTGTACCAGTCAGATCTGATTTGATGGTACAATGCACAAAAAATAATAAAATTTAAAAAATGAAGAAAAAAGTTTCTTATAATATACGTTTGTGAATTTCAAGTTTATTTAATGCAAGATGACTTTTATGACATTTTTATCATCTTCTGTCTTGCCAGGAAGTGGTCATAGTAAGTGCCGTGAGAACACCCATTGGATCCTTTCTAGGAAGTCTCTCCTCTGTGCCAGCCACTAAACTTGGCTCCATTGCAATTCAGGGAGCCCTTGGAAAAGCAGGTCTGTGTGGTCGAGGGGTCAAAAGGATTGAATGAGACAGATGTTTATTTTGTCCTGAAAAGGTGGTGTTTAGGAGCCCTCGTGGTGAAGCTTTGTTCTAATAATCTGAAGGTCAGCGGCTGTTCCTCGGGAGAAAGATGAGGCTGTCTGCTCTGTTAAGATTTACAGTGTTGGGCATCCTGAGGGCAGTTCTGGGCAGCCCTGCAGCGCTGTGATCAGAACCAGCTCAGCAGCAAGCGGTTTGGTGTTTTGATTTATGTAATTTATCACTTGCTGCTGTGAGCTGGGTTAGGTTGCTCACTCAGACGTCACTGGTTTGAATCCACCAGCTTCTTGGGGGGAATGATGTCTTCTGGTAAAGGTTTATAGCCTCAGAAACCTGAAGGAGGGTCACTGTAAGGCCCAGCTGGACCTAACTCAATGGCAGTGGCAATTTGGTATTAGAAATGGCAATATTTCTGACTTCCCTAGTGAACTATTCCCTGTAATAACAGATTGGAAGTGGAAGTTAAAACTGGTAAGAAAAAGAAATTATTCCTGGTATATAAAGCCATGTACTTTAGGTAATCACTAGTTATGAAACTGAACAAAATAAAAAGAAATGCCTTTATTATTTGTTTTTAAAAAGGGATTCCAAAAGAAGAAGTGAAAGAAGTGTACCTGGGTAATGTTCTCCAAGGAGGAGAGGGACAGGCCCCTACGAGGCAAGCCGTGCTCGGTGCAGGTAAAAGGAATGCGGTATTGACTTCAAACGTAGAATCTTTCAAAAATCTTAAAAATGGTAACATAGTGAGCACATCAACTTAAATATTAGATAGTAATTGAACAGGTTAGAATTATATTAGCAACAGAATCACTGCTGATCGTGGTTCAGCTGCTCCCTTGGATTTGGTGGTTATTTGGATGCTGTTATTATTCTGGAGTGTGACAGATCTGTCTTGTTTCAGGCTTACCCATTTCTACTCCCTGCACCACCGTGAACAAAGTCTGTGCTTCCGGAATGAAAGCCATCATGATGGCGTCGCAGAGTCTCATGTGCGGGCACCAGGTGAAAAGCATTTTCATTCCATCTTACCTTCACATGGTAGTGTTCGAAGACACAGTGAACACAGGCACCATCTAACAGGTGTTTGTCGATAACTGGTCTTCTGGGGAGCTGTGTAAGGCATGTGCTTGTGTTGAGTTGACCTGGGTTTCATATGCTCTGGAGCAGGACGTGATGGTGGCAGGAGGGATGGAGAGCATGTCCAATGTTCCCTACGTGATGAACAGAGGGGCGACGCCTTACGGTGGAGTCAAGCTCGAAGACTTGATCGTGAAAGATGGACTAACTGATGTCTACAATAAAATTCACATGGTAAATGTTTACCAATGGAGAAGAGTCCTCTAGTTAATAGTACTGTTTGGTTTTTCTTAATCCAGGCAGTTCCTGGGTTGCACATTCCTAAGTCTGCCTTTAAGTCAGATTTGTACAGTAAGTCAGAACAGTTAGCTAGTTTGTGGCTAACATTAATCAGATGTTTGTTATTGTATCATTGTGCATAACAGACATTAAAGAAACACTTCCAGACATGACCCAACATTCTTAACAAAATTATAATAGCAAATTGAGTGTTAAAATTAAATTATAAATTTAATAGTTCTTATGGATGTTGACTTGAAACTGTGGGTTGTATGTAAATTTGACATTCTTCACCCATGACGGCCTGTTTATGTTAGAAAAAGAAGGATGGGCTTTATAAATACTGATTTTAGCCATTCGTTTTGATAAATCATTTTCTATGCCCATTGTACAATATATCTTGCAAAATCTGCATCCTGGGTAAGGTGGAAATTTGTCTGAGAAGGGGAAAAAAGTATTTTCCACTAGTAGGAAGAAACAAAAAATGATTGTACCCTGTCAAACGGAAAAACAAGGCAGTATGTCGTGTTAGGCTGACCAGGTTTCACTGTAGCAGCTTGTTCAGTTGTTAAAGATGACGTCCCACACTTTTTTCATCTATTTATGTGTTCTAATAAATGCCAATTTGTGGGCCGACTCAGGTGCTTGAAAGCAAAATAAGGCAAATTACTTAGTTTAAAAAAAGTGGATCTTAATAAGTTAAATTTAAATGCTAACCACTGTTTTGTAAGTTATGGCAAGTGAATTATTTTTTAACAGTTCCAACTTTTTTCAGGGAAACTGTGCTGAGAATACTGCAAAAAAGCTTAATATTTCACGAGATGAGCAGGATGCGTATGCTATCAACTCCTACACCAAGAGTAAAGCAGCGTGGGAAGCAGGGAGATTTGGAAACGAAGTGATTCCTGTCACAATTGCAGTAAAAGGTAGAGGGTCATTTTTCAATGTGGATTCTAAATTTCAGTTGATTTAACATCATTTTTTATTTAAAAAAAGTTTACGCTTTAAAAGAGTACTTTCCCCCTCTTTTATTATTATTTGACTGAAGGTTTACAAATCATATTGGTTTATTTATTCTTTCATACACATTTTATGATATTAATTACACAGAAAGGTGATCTGACAGAGTGTGGACATTATTGTACAATATCATTGATATCACATGCAAGCAAGATTCTGCTGAAGATTATCCAAAAATGACTGGAACAGCACATCAACAGAGAACTGCCAGAAGCCCAGGCTGGGTTTAGAATGAGTTGTGGTACCAGGGATATTGTTAGATGGATCTTGGCTGAAAGCAGGGAATACCAGAAGAATGTCTATCTGTGTTTCATTGATTCATTTGACTCTGTGGATCACAACAAACTGTGGCTGACTCTGAGAAGAATGGAAATCCCAGAATACTTGATTGTGCAAATGAGAAACTATACTTGGACCAGGAGGCATTTGTCAGAACAGAGCAAGGAAACACTTCATGGTTCAAAATTGGGAAAGGTATGCTTCAAGGATGTGTCCTATCTCCATATCTTTTCAATCTATATGCTGAACAGATTATCATTTGCTATGCAACAGAGAACTGGACAATGACTAGGGATGATAGAAGAAGAATTGATTCCTTTGAGCTGTGATCTTGGAGAAGAGTATTGAATATACTTTGGACTGCTAAGAGAACGGACAGTTTTGTCCTGGAGAGGGGGAGACCAGGTTGCTCTTTGGAGGCAAGGATTCTGAAGCTTCATCTGACATACTTTAGACATTAAAAAAGAGGCCCAGTGTACCAGGCACCTTTGTCATAGTATCTTGCCGAATGAGTATTTGTCTTGTGTAGTGACTGCTCAATTTCCTTTTTAGGTAAACCAGATGTAGTCGTCAAAGAAGATGAAGAATATAAACGTGTTGATTTCAGCAAAGTTCCAAAGCTGAAGACTGTTTTCCAAAAAGAAAATGGTTAGTATTTAAAATGCAGCATAAAAAAATAATCAATATAAAAACAGATTTGGAATTGAATTTCTAAAAGATTTTTAAGAAGCTTTTCTAGAAAACTCTAGATATTAACATCTTAAATGGATCAGATTCAAATAAAAAGGAATAATAATAATAATTGAAAATTAAAATTGCTCAATAGCTTATACTTCCAAAACAAATCCTTGAAAGAGATTCTGCACTATAGCTTTAGAATTCCATTTTTCATATGCAGCTGATCTTGAAAGTTTATTGTAATTTGAAAATTAAGTTTTAGTGTATGCTAATTAGTATAAGTACTTTGAGGAGTAGGGTGACAGCTGCATTAGTCAGTGCTGCATATGTTAGTACAAAGGAGAGGTCAGTGTGTAATACGAAGTTAGCGCTTTGCCTTTCCTGATTGAATTTCTTACTACCTTGCATAAGAAATTATCAAATTTCCAACTTTATACTGCAAAGGTTAAAGTAAATTTAGAATTCAGTGTAAGTCATTGATATTTTCATAGCTTTATTGACATAATTTACATACTATAAACTTCTTCTATTTAAAGCTCAATAGTAAGAGAGCATTGGTAGCCATGTGTGTATTGGGGCTTTGTAGCACTCAACGTTTCCAGTAGCACGCAACATTTCCAGCTGCTAAGAAAGAGGCCAGGGGTTCAAATCTACAAGCTGCTTCATGGGAGACAGACAGATGAGCAGTGTCATTCGGTAAAAGGCACAGCCTCAGAAACCCAGGGGAGGGTCACGCAGTCACAGCTCACTCGAAGGCAGGGGTGTTTCAAGGTGTTAGCCACAGAATGATTAAATAACTTGTAAAAGCAAAAAGCCAACAAAAAAACCTCAATGGTTTTTGATCTTGAATGAAAATGATTTTTGAAAATACCCTAGTTATAGTGAGTATTGGCCATATTTCAGCAAAGAGCGAGACTCTGGGGAGAGAGGAGAACAGTGCATGCACAGGCTCTGAAGAGGTACAGATCCTGTTACCTCATGTGGCCTCTTGAGTTAACTTTGAAAAACTTCAAGTTAGGAAAAAAATGAGTAAGAAAAGCCATTCTTACATGAATTATGCTGGAGTGAGCTCCGTTCATGTTTCCTGAGGGCAGGAATTTATAATCTCTCACACATTTCACAACCTAAGCAGTGGTCTGTAGATACTTAGAACCTGATGTATCCAGTGTGAAAGTTGGTTCTGACTGTGTGCTCCCTGCGCCCTCAGGCACAGTCACGGCTGCCAACGCCAGCACGCTGAATGACGGTGCCGCTGCCCTGGTGCTGATGACGGCAGACGCCGCCCGGAGGCTCAATGTTACACCACTGGCGAGGATAGCAGGTAGGTGTCCTGACCTCGTTGACCACTGTGGTTTGTACCTGGTGGTAGTTTAATATTACATTTTAGTTAACACTTAAGGTTCTTTAAAATTGTTTTGATAATGTCATTTGCTTTAGGTAAAAGTAAAAAAATCCCCTATATGCCAGATAGTGAGTGCCCAGGGCATGAAAGCTATTGAGCTGGTAACGGAAAGTTTGGCAGTTGAAACACGCGAGCAGCTGCCCTGAAGGAGAGAGAGGTGGACAGTCTCTCCCAAAAGATTTACAACCGTGGATACCCAGCGGAGGGTCACTGAGGGTCAGCAGTGACTCCCCCACAGTGGGCTTTGTTCAGGATTTATCGTAAAGGTCCTGCAGTCAGAGAAAAAGAATGTGGGTGAACGAGTCCAGGGATCTCAAATGTAAATGTTCTGGTATTTATTAACTCGGTGGCCTTGGGCAGGCACTCAGTCTCCTTAAGCCTACTTTGAGCTGTAAAATATACTTTGCCTTCTTCATAAAATGCTGAAAAGAATCCATTTCATGACATGAAAGTCCTTTATAATGACATAGAGGTCACTTCATAGAAAGCTTGTAACTTCATTTTATTTTTAGCTGAATTGCATCAGGGTTGCATAACTCCCAGCAGCGTTGATATTTGGCATCAGCTGGTTCCTTATTGTGGGGACGAATGGTCCTGTGCCCTGCAGCACAGTGTGGGAGGCCTCACAGCATCTGTACTCCTACCCTTAGGTGCCAACAGAATCCCTCCTGTTGTGACAATCAAAAATGTCTCTAAACAGAGCCAGATTCCCTGGAGGCAAATCCTTTTGCACCTGGTTGAAAAATCACTGATGATGTAATCTAATTGATGTTATTTTGTAAGTAGAACCTTGGAAAAGGAACAAATTTATTTACATAGATTATTGAGGTTAGGACACCTGCATTTAATGGGATAACTTGTATATAATAGCATTTGCTAGATCTACTTGTAATCAGACATTTTAACAATATACTTTCTTTAAATAGCATTTGCTGATGCTGCTGTAGAGCCTATTGATTTTCCTGTTGCACCTGCATACGCCGTGCCGAAGGTAAGAACACAGCAAGGGGACCTGCACCATTTGGGCCCACTTTTAGTTTGCTTTTATCAGTGACTCAGGCAAAAAACCACAATGGTAGATTATAACATTTCCACTTCTCCCAAGAACAAAGATAACGAAACAGTAAAAAAAGAAGCACCCACAAATGACACCCTTGTTGTTAGGCTGTTAAGTACGATTCATAGTGACCCTATGAACAAAAAGATCTGAACCCTGTCCTGTCGTGCGCCATCCTCACACTTCCTGACACACATGAGCCCATTGCAGCAGTCATGTCGGTCCACCTGGTTGAGGATCTTCTTCTCCTTCGCCGACCCCCCACCCTTCCAGCGTCATGTCCATATCCTAGGACTAGCCCCTCCTAGCAACATGTCCAAAGTATGTAAGTCAAAGCCTCGTCATTGATACCTTAGTGGAACAGATAAACATCCACTGGATTACTTGTTTGATCTTGAGCTCACAAAACTGCTGCAGTATCTGCTAAGAGGAAGAATGGAATGGTGAGAGTATTGGTGGCCCCAGAGCTGTAAAGCCATCAGTCCTAGAAGAGGTCTCCAGTCTGAAAGGGCTCTGGTGGAATCACGTTCTGGAGTAGGCAGAGAAAACCTACAATCTTCAGATACTCTGTAGTGATATAAAGGAAGTCTCCAGTGGAAATGGCTGAGGAGGGGCAAGTGCTAGGGTTCTTTAGGAGCTCTGGGATCTCACAAGTTCATAGCAAATATTGCTTTAAGGAAAGAGAGTGGACTTCTGAGAGCAGAAGCCAGGGGGACAAAAAAAAATCATCAGCTGAGATGTTGCCCTCTTTAGGTGGATACGAGTGGTAAGAGCTGGAGAATAGTGCTGCCAGATGTAGCATGTTTCAGTACAACTCATAGCAAATCTGTGAACAGCAGATCTGAACACTGCCCTATCTTGTGCCATCTTCACAATCTTGTATGTACTCAAGCCAGTTGCTTCAGTGACTGTGTCAGTCCATCTGGTTGAGGGTCTTCCTCTCCTTCACCACCCTCCACCTTTCCAAGTATGATGTCCCTCTCCAATGAATAGCTTCTCCTAGCAACATATATGTGCCTCCAAGGAGCACTAGGGCTGCACCTTCTCAAAGACAGGTTTTTTTGGCAGTTCCTGGGATATTCTGCATTCTAGTGACAATATCCTTAGAATAGGAAAACAGTCACTAAAGTGGACCTCAAGACTCCTCATGTACTCATCACTTATTGACTTAAGCTTTTTATCTGTTATTTTCCATTTACCACACCTTGAAAAGAAATTCTTAGTTGGTGCCTGATAGTGTGGACCCATGGCAGGTAGAACCTGGGACTGGAACATCCTCCATGGGCCACGTGTTAGTGGGCAGCTGGCAAGTGGACACTATCTTCTGGTCCATTGTGATTGCTTATTTCTGGACACAGGGTGAGGGATTTAGGCAAGATGTGAGGTTGTAGGCAGGTGTGGGGTGGCGAATGGGAGAGGGCCGGGCTGCGGCTGATAGAGGCTGAGTGATGATCAGGGCGGATAGCAGGCAGCACCCCACCCTCCTCTCCTCAGCTCCATAGGCTCTGTGTGGTGGGGCTGTCATTTCACATGGATGCCTAGATGCAGGGAGGGTACCCGATAGTGACCAGAGTGGACCACCTGTGATGAAGTTGGAGCAGGACTTAATTATTTATAATGACCTACCTAGTCTTTTCAATGTCACCAAGTTGCTAAGCAGTTTTTTAATTTTCTGGAATGTTGCATTGATACCTAAAGAAAATACATAGAACTGCCAATGCACTGGGAATTGTGGCCTAGGCAGACTGCACATAACCTTCACAGTTGCTGTTCTCCTTGCCACACACCGCATTGTTAGTCAAGTGTGTGTCTTTAATACGCAAAATGCAGAGTGTGAGATAGAGACAGCTGCTGTGAGGAATAGGTGTGTGGTAACTGTTTCACCAAAGGAGGGCACAAACCAAAACTATGGGAACTGTGAAAATATGTGAGTGATAATAATTGTATTTTCAAAAATTTAAGGTTCTTAAAAATGCCGGATTGAAAAAAGATGATGTTACAATGTGGGAAGTAAACGAAGCCTTTAGCGTAGTTGTACTGGCAAACATTAAAATGCTGGAGATCGATCATCAAAAAGTGAATATCAATGGAGGAGCTGTTTCTCTGGGACATCCAATTGGGTAGGTAAAATCCTAAGGGAAAACTGATCTTGGTTCATAGCTGTTTCATGCTAATTCCTCCTGTTCATCAACCAGGTTTTCCTTGCCCTCATCCTTCAGACAGCATATACCCTTTTATTAGGTGACATCAAGCAGAGATGTTATATCTTGTCACAGTTGTTACTTGAAACTTAAGGGACAAATAAAACATTAAGATTAAAGTCTATACTCAGGCTGTTTTAAACAGCCCAAATTCCAACTCTTCTAGAAGTAAATGTCCACAGAAAAGTAAGTGGTTAGTAAAGGTTAGCCACAAATCCTGTCCTTCATGAATGAACCAGAATGTTTTTCTGTCCCAGGATGTCTGGAGCCAGGATCGTCGTGCACATGGTTCATTCCTTGAAGCAAGGAGAGTACGGGCTTGCCAGTATTTGCAATGGAGGTGGCGGTGCTTCTGCCCTGTTGATTCAGAAACTCTAGATGGAGGAACATAATCTTCAATGCAATCAGAAAGGCGCCACGGAACTTGACTGCCCCGGGGTCAGTTTATATACAATAATCAGTTGCCTTTTTTTTATTATTTCCTATTGTAACTCCTTTTTTTATAAGAAAAAGATCAAAGCCAAAAATCTTTTGCAATTACAAATAAATTGTTTCTCCTGCATTAACTTTATTTATAATCTTTAGAAGCTTGACATACTTTATAATATTAACCTGTATTATGTGAAATACCAATGACTAGAGAATGCAAACCAATTTATACTTTTGAGGATTACAAAAAGTGGAGTTTCAGTGTTAGCTAGAGCTGACATACATTAGCAGATCCTTGACCTTGAGAGCTGGTTCCGGTGAACCATGCCTCACCTGTGAGTAGGCACATCACAGGCACCGGTGTACTCTGTGGTGCCTGACAGAGGGGAGCGCGAGGGGCCTGGTCTGTAGGGAGGTAAGCTGCTCACCCCAACGTGGCACCTCTCTGGCCATGAGAAACATGGACAGTTTCCCCTAGTTTGATTTACAACCTTCAAAAAGACTCACCAGAGGGGAGCTATGAGCTGGTTCCAACTCAATGGCAAAGACTAAGAAGATGAGAGGCCCACATGGGCAAGTCTAGAATGGGGGCAAATCCTCACGCTTGGCATTCAATTTCGGCTTGGTAAACACAATCACCGAGCTTAGTCTTTGAAGTACCATTGCAACACGCAGCAGTCAAGGTGGGGACTGCAAAAACAAAGAATTAAGCTCTCTAATTATTAGCCAGCAAGTTCAAATCAACTCTTAGTTGACTTTCTAGGAGGCACAGATCACATGGGGAGATTGGCTGTCTTTCCCCTGAGGAACCACTGGTGGGTTTGAACTGCCAGAGGGGCTGTCTTTGGATCACCCCCTGCAGATTCCGGTTCACCGCCTGCGGACTCTGCCACCAGAGCTCCCCGCACTGTGTTTGTTGTTGTTCTGTGCCATCGAGTTGCTTGCGACTCATAGCGACCCTATGTACAAGAGCCCTAAATGCCGTTCTATCCTGTGCCAACCTCGCCGTCTCAAACACATTCATTCCCACCACTCCACTCACAGAATCGATCCATCTCATCGAGGGTCTCTCATTTTATTGAACATAAAAAAAGGGGACTGCTTACCCCATTTCCCGAGGAAAAGGAATTCTTTTACATTGTTCAAGAAAAAAAAATCAGTTAACTCTTCAATAATTGAAAGAAAATATTTTTAAAAATTAATAAAATGGAAACTAGATGAAAAATGTAGTATTAATAACTCAGGGTGTGAGAAGTAGAGGAATTTAACCTGACCTGAATCAACAAATTAGGCTGAGAGAAATTTCACTGGAAAGAGTGGAGATTTCTCAATGTCCAGATTTAGAATTTTCTTGATGTGAAGTATAATGTTTGAAGGCTTTGCTCTTCAGTAAGAACTTCATTTTTCTCTGTTTCTAAAAGCATGGTTGTGTCCTATTCATATTGCTGGTAGATGACTCTTCAGTCTTGATGCCACATTCTTCATATGGCCCAGTGTCTTGGTATGTTTAGACAGGGGTGGGGAAAGAATACCCTGATACATACGGTCCCTGTTTTTAACACCCACACATTCCTGATTCTTCAGCTCTACAAAAGCCAAATGTTATACTTAACATTCTCACTAACACGAGAATTTGCAGTAGTGTTTTGGAGTTTCTTATTTAGGGAATCATGTTGCAATTCATTTGGAAATAACTCTGGCTTCTTTTTGTGGCTCACAAACCACTCAGAGCTAGAAATGCAGAAACAGTATTTTAGGGAAAAGAAGAGTAACAGGGCCAAGAAGCCCATTTTATCATTAGTTCAAGCATGAATCAGAGTAGTTAGAATTAAAAAAGAATTAAAGTGTTGTTAGGTGCTGTCAAGTTGACTCCAACTCATAGTGACCCAAGTCCAACAGCCAGAAACCCAGCCTGGTCCTGCGCCACTGTCCCCATCTCCACTGGACTGAGCGCACTGATGTGGTCACTGTAGGTTGTCCTTTTCTTTGCTGAACTGTTGCTGCCCCAAGCATGGCGTCTTTCAGGTACTAGTCTCTCCTGACAACATGCACTGAGGACATGAGGCAGTCTCCAAGTACCCCATGGAGCTTGGCATCGGAACTGGGATGGCGTGGAGGAGATCTGGCACTGCCTTTCCTACAACGAATTGTGTGTGGCTTTTAATGAGCTGACAAGCACCCCGTGCTGCTGGCTGAGGCTCCCCTGGACCCCAAAGCAAACCAGAAGATGAGTCAGATCATGTTCGAGACAAAACCCCGTCATGTAGCCCGCCACCCAGGCCATGTTGTTCCTGGATGCCTCTGGCTGCACCACCAGTGTTGTGATGGGTTCCCACAATGGGCCATCCCATACTGCCCACCTACGAGGGTACGCTCTCCCCAATGCCTTCCTGTGCCTGCACCTGGTGGACTACTTCATGAAGATCCTCAACGAATGAAGCTACAGCTTCGCCACCCACTGAGTAGAAAATTCTGTGTGATGTCACAGAGAAACTGTTATGTTGCCCTGGACTTCAAGCAACAGATGGTCCTGCCGGCCTCTGTGTCCACCCTGGAGAAGAGCCATGAGCTGCCCGAAAGACAGGAACACACATTCCTGCCCAAGGCATCTTCAGCTCTCCTTCCTGGGCATGGATTGTCCTGGCATCCACAAAACTACCTTCACCTCCATCATGAAGTGTGACGTTTGTGTCCACAAGGGCCTTGATGCCCACACGATGCTGTATGGCGGGACCCCCATGGAACCAGGTATTGTCAACAGGTTGTAGATGATCACAGCCCTGGTGCCCAGTTGAATGAAAATATCATTACTTCCCGTGAGTGCAAATAACGTGTGGATCAGCGACTCCATTCTGGCCTCTCCGCCACCTTCTAGCTGATGTGGATCAGCCAGCAAGAGTACAAGTCTGGCCTCGCCCTCGTCCATCACAGATGCTGCTCCTAGGCTGATTGTTAAGTTTCATTATGCCTTTTCCTAATTAACGCCCCCCCCCGCCCCCAAGCCCCCTCTTGTGCAGAAGAAAACCCACAAAAACAAAAAACCAATGAAAAAACATCTCAAAACACACTGACTACGTTTTCCTAGGCAGATGATTATATGTTCAAGAAATCATTAAGGGACCCAAACAAAGCTCAAGATTAATGCTTTGCTATTAATTGTCTAAAAACCAAACAATGGAATAGATTAGATTCCAGAAACAAACCCACAATACGCACCTTACTCAAATATGTGAAGATCATAATGTAGCTAGGAAAATACTCTTTTTCAATACGAGGTTCTAGGGGGATGTGGAAAAAGTTAGCCATAACCCAGATCTCACAGTACAGAGAAAACCAATTCGAGACATGAAATAAGAACAAAGATAAAAAAATGTAAAATGAGAAAATATGCATAGCTTTCTTCTTAAAGGATTAAAACAGTGTTAATAAAAATCGGGAGAAATGGCCTACATGGGATTTTGTTAACAACTGCTGACGCAGTATTGAGAAGGTAAGGGGCAGGCCAAAGAGTAAGGACAGCTGATGCTGCTGTCTAATCCTAAAGACAATGTGTCTCTAATACAGGAAAATGTCTACAAAATAGAAAAATTGCAGACAACACAATTTAAAAAATGGGTAAAACTATTATACATATGATATCTCAATGGCCAATAAGCACTTGGAAAGATGTTAAAATATCAAGAAAAACTAAAACTCAAATGCTAAGTATACACTGCTAAAATGAATAGGGCAAGTATTGGTGATGACGTGGAACCAGAACTACTAATACTGCTGGTCTCTCTTCCTTCTTCTGCGTCTCTCATTGTCATCAACTCGTAGGGGACCTTCCAGCTGGTGTTGAGGCTGTGCATCACACTGGAGATCACACAGGTTTCTCCCACAGAACTGCTAGTGGGTTTGAACTGCTACAGGTGCCGTGCCACCTTTGGTTAGCAATGCAGACCTCTACCTGCTGAGCCAGCAGACCTCTACACTGTTGGTATAAACTGGAACAACCACTGTATGAAAAACAGCAAAAAAGTGTAAGAATGAATATGCAACCTATGTACCCAGCAACTTCACTCCAAAATACATAGCTACCTCATAGTGTAATATTCACAGACACAAAAGTACAAAATAGTCCAAGTTCTACAAGATACCGACAAATGGGAAACAATGTGAATGTTCATCAATTTTGCAACAAATTATAACAAGGGAGATTGTTGTTATGTGCCATCCAATTGCCTGTGACTCATAACGACCCTATGTTCAACAGTCCTAAACCTTGCTTGCTCTGTCCTGTGCCAATCTGTCTCTGACACACCTACCCCGATTACCCCAGTCACTGAATCAATCCACCTCATAGAGCGTCTTTCTCTTCTGCGCTGTCCCTCCACCCTCCCAAGCATGATGTCCCTCTCCAAGGATCAGTTCCTCCTTGCAACATGCCCAAAGTATGTCAGATGAAGCTTCAGAATCCTTGCCTCCAAGGAGCAACAAGCACTAATGATGACAGAACTCAACTGCACACAAGCAAATCTTACAAAGCAAAATAGTTATTAAGAATATATATGGGGGAAAATGTGCAACAATGAATGAATGGAAAGCTAAGTTCTCTATAAACTTTCATTAAAATATCAATTATTTTTTTTAAAAAGGGTATATATGGGGAGTTGTTTAAAATATAAAGTTAAATGATGCAGCTAAAACGAACATATCATGCTAGCATTTAGGGGATAATTACCGCTGGGGCAGGCAGTTAGTAGAAGGGATGAGAAAGTGGGTTGTAGCTTACTCTTAATGTTCTAGATGATCTGGATATTTAGAGAAAACTCACTGAGCCACAAGGATTGCTGGTTTGTGAAATTTTGGTAATGATTCTAGAAGAAGTTTATAAGTGAAAAAACTTATAAAAGCTGCATTAACTAAGTCTTACAATGACAAAGACTGCATAAGACCATTACTGTAAA